AACACATTCAATCTTCATACACAGAAGTTTGTAGCATTTCCACAAGTTTACTCCAGTTTTCTCTCAAATTAGCTATAAATCTCAGACACTGGCAGAAAGTGCGAACAGGTTTATTGCTTTAGATAAACCCATTAAAAAGTACATCCAGGAACAGCAGAACAAAAAGACTCAAGCAAAAACCCGACAAGACGTTAAGGTTAGCTTGCTTAGCGAATTCTTCAAACAGAATTAAGAGGCAAGAAAAGTTTTAAAGAAGGCAAATATGCTGTGAGCATTATTGATGACAAAGATTTTTGCCAAGCAAGGAAATGTCTGGAAGCTCAAAGCAAACGACTTAAAAAAAGCAAGGCAAGGGAAACAATTCAAACGCAGCTGAAGCGTTGACTGATGATGATAAGTTTTTGAAGAAGCAACAAAGTGCTTGCACTCAGACAGAGTAAAAACATTACTTGACATTTGTTCTGCCAAATGAAGGATGAAAATCTGGTTGAGGGTGAAAATCTCAGTAAGTATAAAATAAACAAATTACATCAGCATGGAAAGTGCTTCATTCGGTATTAACCCACTCGTTTTTGTTTCAGAAAACTCACTCGTTCCTTTTTTGATACATCAACAACTTGTACATAAATACTGTACGCACGCACATTCCATGAAGTCATCTATATGTATTGCATTGTTTCAGGCTTTCTAGTTTTTCTTTAAATCAGAAGTAACCCTTTTGCAGTGATGTCTGCAGAGATTGCCATAGAGGAATTTTATAAACCCTTCTCATAAATGGCTGCCAACTTAAAATTCTTTTGTATGCGTTTAAATTACCCTTACTAACCTCGTTTCAGAGTAAAAATTCTTTTGAATTACCAACTTCAAAATGAGGTTGGTAAGGCTAATTTTAATACTTGCAAAAGAATTTATAATTGGCCGCCATTTATGAAAGTGGTCTATAGATTGAAATAAACAAGACTGTTGAATGTGATGTTGGTATAATTAATGAGGTTTTTTAGCCAAAATGCTTCAGATTGAATTTGCTGCACTGTTCACGTTCCTTGACATAACTTTAATACAATCAGTACTCAAAGCACAAGAAAATGATCAATGATTATATTTTGTATTATGGAAAAGGAATAGAGCAGTTCAAGAGAGACAGGTTAGTGAATCACTCATCAAACACTATCCAACATTAATTTTACAATAACTGCAGAAATTCTCGTGCACTCATTGGCTAATTGTCATTGTCAATAAGCGGACAGACACATGAATATATAACTTATGTGATGCACCAACAAGCGAGAGCAAACAATTTAAAAATTTGTTATCATAAAAAAACAAATTGACATCAGTTTTTCATGAGTCTGTCTTGTTATTGACAATGAATTTCATTGTAACATTGNCCTTGACAATGGCACCAAGATGTCGCCGAAACGTCGGATTTGTCTATCGTTAGTTTTTGCCTGTATATGTAAATGAGGAAAGTATTCTTTTTCATAGTGTCATAGGCCATTAAATATGCAACCACATGAAATTGGTCCAATCTGCATTCATTGCCTACCTGTAATGCTAGGTAACAGCTAGGTTAACAACACGATTTTAAGTTGTCATATGTGAGAATGTTAATGGATGTGCTATGGGTTAAGTGGCATCAGGATATTCCATTCGTACATTAAAATATGTACAAAAATTAGTCGAGGTAGTCTACCATATCACTGTGTTTCTCACCTAACAACTAGCAGGGAAGATTGTGTGAACAAGGTCACATACTGTATGGCAATTGTATCTAGCCATATCAACTCCCTTACCAAATTCTTTGAATACAACTTTTAGGAAGAAACTTGCAAAACAGAAGAAAAAAGAAAAGAAAACATCAAAAAAGTCAAATTCATCAAAAAAGAAGCAGAAAAAGGAAAAGCATCACAGAAGTAATGACAACAACTCCTCAAGTTCTGCTGAAGATTCAGAAGATAATGACCATAACATTGAAGAGAGCAGTATGTATTTTTTTTTTGTTCTCACTAGTATGGATGGTTAATTTCTTGTTACCTTAGTTTGAACAAAAATTTGTCCGAGTTGTGATGATCTGCTTGTCAACAGAATGCTGCTCTTGAGATTGGGTACCCTGTGTGTCAGAGTCCTGAAGAGATTTCCATTTGACCCAAAATTCTGGAACCCTCAAAATGGGGCTGAATAGTTCCAAGTAATTTTTGCAAATGTGGACATAGCTTGCAAGTTCGTCTTCTTTTCCAGAAATTTCAGAAAATGGTGTTCTATCGATCTCACCACTGGGAATGACCAAAACTTCAAACCTGCATTTTTTGATTTCAAGCTCTCCTGTTTTCTTTGCACAGTTTCCTACCTTGGGCGAATGCTATTTCAAGTCTCTAGATGGAATATTTGCCTCCTGTTGAGTTNACTAGTTTGATTATTTGAGGGCCACAAGTTTATTAGCTTTTAGCTATTTAGTGTCACCCTCACTAAATAAAGTGTTAACTTCCTTCCTTACTTACTATAATTGGGGATTTGCATTTGTTTGATATCAATATTGTAGCATCACTTATCGATCCATCATAGTCTAACTGCTGGAAAGTGCTGGATTGATATAAAAGGAAACCATTATTTAAGCACAGTAACTTAGATCAAAAATTATTAGTAGTAAATATGAAATACATGTATTATTGTAAATATCTATGTACAAAATAGAAAGTATGATCATTTAGAGAGATTAAAAGATTCTATTTTGTTTTCAAAGCTCTCATGGATTTTTCACATTTCATTTCTTCTGGGAGAGCTTTCCAAATGCATAATGACGTGAGGCACAAATTAAACAACTTCTACAGTAACTGAACATCACAAGTCTCTAGGCCTACCTTTATTAATGACATAAAATACAAACAGTTCTGTCATGTGAAAAAGTCATACTGTTAAATATGCATTTGAGCCCTTGGTGATTTTGGATTTGTTCTTTATCCACAGGGAGGAGGAATTTGAAGAGTACTTCCAAGACATGTTTCTTTGACTTGTTACTTAAAAATAAATTATCACACTCAAGTGAAAACAGCTCTAAAAACTGACTAAAATTCAATCTCTACTACTGAATTTGAGCCTGATACAAGCATTAAGATGCACCATATCACAGTAACAACAGAGATCATTCGGTAGGCTCACTTACATCACTGGCTTTACTGTGTTCATAAATGTCATAACCTGCTTCAAATGGAATAGGAATACTAACAGGCCAGGCCTGCATTCGAGGATACACACTTGGTTTTCCTTTAACTACAGTTGAACAGTATCTTTCCCAATCCACTGGGCCATGATTTGTAAACTCGTGTCCTCCAACACCCAGTAAGGGCCAATTATCTGCAGAACTGTAACTAAGACATAGCAAACGACGGGAACGGCTTGAATGGTTTGCTGAAGAACCATGCACTGTGAAGGCATGATGAAATGACACTCCTCCAGCAGGAACCTCAAGATGGATTGTAGAACTGGGATCTAATGCTGGGTCTGTTATAGCTGAGACAAACGCTCCATCTTGGAAGTGCGAGTACAGAGGACCTTTGTGGGAGCCAGGAATAACTTGAAGGCATCCTATTTACATGAAAAGAAAGGGATTGGTAACAATTTATAAGCACTGTTCAAGTTTTTATAAATCACTGGAAGAGAATTGTTGACAGTATATGTCCCCCCCCCCCCTCCACAGAGGGTGGGGGGTACTTTACAAAGGTTTGAATTTGGTGGCTCAGCCCCAGGGTCCAACCCCTTACCCTTTTGTATAGCATTTTGACAGAAAAGGTACCCCTTTCGTATAACTTAAATTGAAACGAGCAGCTCCAAACAGAAAGTGCAAAGTCAGCAAGCTTCACTTTTTATAAATAGGTGAACACCATAAAGCTCGTGTTAATGAAAAATAATGACTTAGATATTGGCGTTCTCCAAAAGTATATTTGTGCTATCCTCCTATCCAAATGCTTGTTGTTGTCCTTCTGTTGAGAATGCAAAAGTCAGTCAAAAAGTTGATATAAATTATACCAAAACAATTCCTTATAAAATTCTTCTTAATTAGCTTTATGTATACATTTTTAATGCAGTTCTTATTTTTTTGCTTGTGAACTTTTAATATTTCATTTATGGACTTTGATGTTATTTTAGCTTTTGTATTTTAATTTCATGGAGGACCCGCCTGAAAACTGTTCTCTTCAAAAAGCTGAAATTGCACTCGCCAAAGCGGCTTGTGTAATTTCAGCTTTTTGAAAAACTCACTCGCGCAAATTTATTCCAAATTGAACTTGAAACCATACAATTACCTATACTTAGCAAAATTTCCATCCGTAGACAAAAAAGTCCATTTTAAACTTGTCCACAGTGTTCCGTAGTACGGTTTTGGTTTACATGTATTCAGGAGGACCTTTGATTCAGACCTTCTTGCAACCCGAAGGACAATACCATTGCTTCTAAGTCATTATCTCTCTCTTAACCATTAGTCAAGTCTTCTCGATTCTTAATTCTTTACCATTTCAAACTCTTAAAAGGTATGTTTTGGTACTAAGTACAGAATTTTGCCATCTAGAAGATACCCATGACACACGACTCAATGTTTGATGCAAAAAAAACGTTTCTCTACCCCCTAGAATATGGAAAGGACCAAAACACAGTAGGTTCCAAAGAAATCTCTGGGGAGTGGGAAAGAGGCAATTTCTTAGTTTTTCCAAAGAGCCACTTGCCTCACCGAACCTGCAAGGGAGGTTATATGCACCCCCAGCTACCCCTATATGAAGTCACGGAGTTAACAATGAAAAGTTTATTAATAACAGATTTCTGTTACGGTGTGTTAGTTTGTTGTAATATTGTGTCCAGCTGACAAATTTATGGACATCTGAAGGGCATGTTTTCGATCAGGAACTAGCATTTCGCTTACTTGGAGTACTTTTCCCAATATTCTAACCCCAATAGTCCTCTGTCCTACAGACTTCGCACTAAGAAGGTACCCTTTCACATACTTCCGTAACTGGCTCATGTAGTGCCCAATAAATTACGTGATAAAGCCGTAAGGTGCGTCTGCTCAAAATAGTTTAATTAAAAGCCCCTTTAAAGTATTTTCAACGCAAATATTAGTGAAATTAATAAATGACATTTCAACATCGTCAGATGTCATTGTCAAGTAAATGTGTAGGTTAGTTTTTGCATTATAAATAGATCTACAATTATGCGCATAAGGTGGCAAAATGCGGTTAGTGACAAGAAAAGAAGAAAAAGTAACTATTATTTAATAAACTATGTTAATGAAACAAACAATATTGCTCTTATTGAGTTTGACTGAGTATTTAGTTCTCTGATATATAACATTTCATATATTTCACTTCTTTGATATGTATCATTTCAATTGCCACCTTATGCACATAATTGTAGATCTATTTAAGCTTATAATGAAAAAACTAACCTAAACATTTACTTGACAATGATATCCAACAATGTTGAAATGTAGTTTATTAATTTTTCCCTAATTTTGTGTCAAAAACATTCCCTCAAGCCTTACTTATTCAATCCCTTTAACATAACTACCGTAAATGACAACAGATTTCCCTACCCTTTCATATACCTCAGCTTGTGAAATCCCTATCCTTTAATATACCTGAGACCTGAGAACGGTACCCGTTTTGGGCAGCGCCTCCCTGAATAGGCCTTATAGGGGTTATCCTCCGGCCCTTTGTGAAAACCACTCTATGCTTTTATCTGAGGATAAAAATAACAAACTTACCATTCTCCTTAGTGGAATCATCAATGGCAATGCAGACTGTGACCAAACTGTCATTTGTGTAAGGATAAAATGTCCAATCCTGATGCCATCTGATCAGTGAACTACTGCTTTGTGGTGGTTTCATGTTGACTTTCTCTTGGTTTATGTAACGGACCGATGGGCCAATCTAATGGAGAATTTTTTTTTGTGTGTGTGTGTGTGTGAAAGGTCCTGACATCTTATTACTACAAACAATTTTTCTGCTAAATATTAGTAATAATAATTATAGAGTAAGATGTGCCATTAATATTGCAACAGTTCAATCCAACTCACTACAAGCCCTGTGAGCAACATATATAACATTACCAATAATGGGACAGACAGCAGCTGGAACTGGAGGCCCATGTCCCCCAGAAAAGAGTAATGAACCCCTGACAAGGATAGTTAAGGGTTAATAGCTACCTGGACACAGAGGTTAAAAATATGTTTAAGGGGGCTTTTTAATTAAGTCTTACCAGATCAGAAACAATTTCTACCAGCTTAGGATCACATATAGTATCTTTGAATAGTTTGCTGTGGTTTGATATGCAACGCAGCCTCAGTAAGATAGGTTTCTCTGCAGTGTGAAGAGGGTCCAGAACAAACAGGTTATCTGTCTGTTTAACTTTGCGAGACCTAGGAAGAGAAAACATTAATAAAAATATGAAAGTCTAATAATTAAGGCATTCACAGAGTTGCCAGTGCAGGTTCCTGATTAAACTAAATTAACCACTGTATTGTGAAGCTGACATGTCGTTAAGGATTGGCCTTAATCATCAGCACTTTGCTCTGACGAAGGGTTAATGCTCAAATCAACGCTTGTTATGACAGGTAATTTAAGGTCATTCCTCACATTTGCATTGCGCATCCTTACTGCGCATAATTTATGGCGTCATTAGCGCGCGCTCGTGCACGCGCATATTGAAAACA